TTAAAAATATGCCAAAATTGGACCAAAAAAAACTAAAAATTTGCGTTAGAATATTAAAAAAAATGATGCTAAAAATTGACAAAAATTTGCTGGTAAATTGGAATAAAATGCGTTAAAACCTCCAAAACTTGCGTAAAAATTTGAGAAATTTTTTGCAAAACTGAAAAATTATTAAAAAACGCGCGAAATTTGGCAAAAAGCCTTCTATAAATCAATTTTAAACGTTCTAAATAGTTCTAAATAATTCTGGAGCGTTTTACATATTGTTCTATACAGTTCTAAATGTTTCTGGAGCGTTTTACATATTGTTCTATACAGTTCTAAATGTTTCTGGAACATTCTAGATTGTTCCCAATGATTCTTTAGCGTTCTAAATTGTTCTACGATAATTCTGGAACGTTTTATATTGTTCTAGACGGTTCTAAATGATTCTGGAGAGTTCTAAATGGTTTCTAAATGATTCTGGATCGTTCTATATATTGTTCTATACAGTTCTAAATGTTTCTGGAACATTCTAGATTGTTCCCAATGATTCTTTAGCGTTCTAAATTGTTCTAAGATAATTCTGGAACGTTCTATATTATTCTAGACGGTTCTAAATGATTCTGGAGAGTTCTAAATGCTATTCTACTGTAAATGACTATTATAAACGAATCTGGAGAGTTCAAAATAATTCCACGTATTTATACGACGACAGTAATGACGTGCATTATCTATATTCGTTTTGCACCAACAATTAACAATTTTTATTTTGCACCACAAATGTTAATCATTTATATTTTATTGTTTCACACCGGACACTTGACGAATATTTAACCGGTATTATACACGCTCAATTTTACACGCACCGTCCATAACCACGGACAAAACACTACGCGTTAGTTAGAGCACTCGATATAGAGCGCTCGATTTAGAGAGTTAGAGCGGTCTCGGGGCCATACCCGGACGGATCGATCGGCGGAGGCGGCGACCTAGAGGTGTCTGTCCCCGGCGGTGGGGCGGGCGACAAGGACGTCCTGGTGCACTTATATACAGGGTGTCTCATAAGTTGATACTTCTTTTTTTTAACTGCGTGTAGATGGGAGAACCTGTAGTTATGAGACATTGTGGTGTAGTTATGAGACATCCTGTATAGGGTTGCTCTCTTCCTCTTTCCGATATACGAGGGTAAAGTGAATAGTTGTCGGACAAAAAAAACGGACAAAAATCCTTTAGAAATACGCAGAAATTAAGTTAAAAATTCTCAAAAATGTTTAAAAAAATGTCTCAAAAAATTGACAAAAATTTGCTTGTAAATTGGAAAAAAACTGACAAAAAATTTGTTAGAAATACGCAGAAATTAAGTAAAAAATGCTCATAAATGTTTAGAACATTGACAAAAATTGGCTTGTAAATTGAAGAAAAAACGGGCGAAAAATGAGTTAGAAATACGCAGAAATTAATGTAAAAGATGCTCAAAAACATAATCAAAAATGAACAAAATTTTAATTAAAATACTGAACAAAAATGTGTTAAAAGTGCTAAAAAATTTAGAAAAAATGCCCAAAAATTTAGATAAAAAAATGGCGTTAAAAATGGTGAAAAATTGAGTAAAAATTGGGTAAAAGTTGAACAAAAAATTGAGTTTGTTTAAAAAACCTAAAATGTACGTTAAAATGTTAAAAAAATTAAAAATGTCTCAAAAAATTGAAAAACATTTGCTTGTAAATTGGAAAAAACGGACAAAAATGCGTTAGAAATGCGCAGTAATTAAGTAAAAAATGCTCAAAAATGTTTAAAAAAATGTCTCAAAAAATTGAAAAACATTTGCTTGTAAATTGAAGAAAAAACCGGCAAAAAATGCGTTAGAAATACGCAGAAATTATGTAAAAGATGCTCAAAAATGTTTAAAAAAATGTTTAAAAAATTGACAAAAATTGGCTTGTAAATTGAAGAAAAAACGGGCAAAAAATGCGTTAGAAATACGCAGAAATTATGTAAAAGATGCTCAAAAACTTAATAAAAAATTAACAAAATTTTAATTAAAATACTGAACAAAAATGTGTTAAAAGTGCTAAAAAATTGAGAAAAAATGCCCAAAAATATTAGACGTCCTGGTGCACTTATACAGGGTGTCTCATAAGTTGATACTTCTTTTTTTAACTGCGTGTAGATGAGAGGCCCTGTAGTTATGAGACATTGTGGTGTAGTTATGAGACATCCTGTATAGGGTTGCTCTCTTCCTCTTCTCGATATACGAGGGTAAAGTGAAAAGTTGTCGGTCTGATAATAAATAGGTCACGGTTTTCAATTGGGACATTACATTATTCTTCTTATTGAGCGTAAGAAGCTTTTGGAGCGTAGTAAGGTTGTAGGTAGTCCTAAATGATTCTGGACGAAATATGGGAAAGTTGGACAAAAACCCAAAATGTATGTTAAAATGTTAAAAAAATTAAAAATGTCTCAAAAAATTGAAAAACATTTGCTTGTAAATTGGAAAAAATGGACAAAAAATTGGTTAGAAATGCGTAGAAATTAAGTAAAAAATGCTCAAAAGTGTTTAAAAACATGTCTCAAAAATTGACAAAAATTTGCTTGTAAATTGGAAAAAAACTCACAAAAAATTTGTTAGAAATACGCAGAAATTAAGTAAAAAATGCTCATAAATGTTTAGAAAATTGACAAAAATTGGCTTGTAAATTGAAGAAAAAACGGGCGAAAAATGAGTTAGAAATACGCTGAAATTAAGTTAAAAATTCTCAAAAATGTTTAAAAAAATGTCTCAAAAAATTGACAAAAATTTGTTTGTAAATTGGAAAAAAACTGACAAAAAATTTGTTAGAAATACGCAGAAATTAAGTAAAAAATGCTCATAAATGTTTAGAAAATTGACAAAAATTGGCTTGTAAATTGAAGAAAAAACGGGCGAAAAATGAGTTAGAAATACGCAGAAATTAATGTAAAAGATGCTCAAAAACTTAATCAAAAATGAACAAAATTTTAATTAAAATAATGAACAAAAATGTGTTAAAAGTGCTAAAAAATTGAGAAAAAATGCCCAAAAATTTAGATAAAAAAATGGCGTTAAAAATGATGAAAAATTGAGTAAAAGTTGAACAAAAAATTGAGTTTGTTTAAAAAACCTAAAATGTACGTTAAAATGTTAAAAAAATTAAAATTGTCTCAAAAAATTAACAAACATTTGCTTGTTTGTAAATTGGAAAAAAAACGGACAAAAATGCGTTAGAAATGCGCAGTAATTAAGTAAAAAATGCTCAAAAATGTTTAAAAAAATGTCTCAAAAAATTGACAAAAATTGGCTTGTAAATTGAAGAAAAAAACGGGCAAAAAATGCGTTAGAAATACGCAGAAATTATGTAAAATATGCTCAAAAACTTAATCAAAAATGAACAAAATTTTAATTAAAATAATGAACAAAAATGTGTTAAAAGTGCTAAAAAATTGAGAAAAAATGCCCAAAAATATTAGACGTCCTGGTGCACTTATACAGGGTGTCTCATAAGTTGATACTTTTTTTTTTAACTGCGTGTAGATGAGAGACCCTGTAGTTATGAGACATTGTGGTGTAGTTATGAGACATCCTGTATAGGGTTGCTCTCTTCCTCTTTCCGATATACGAGGGTAAAGTGAATAGTTGTCGGCCTGATAATAAATAGGTCGCGGTTTTCATTTGGGAAATTACATTATTCTTCTTATTGAGCGTAAGAAGCTTTTGGAGCGTAGTAAGGTTGTAGGTAGTCCTAAATGATTCTGGACGAAATATGGGAAAGTTGGACAAAAACGCAAAATGTATGTTAAAATGTTAAAAAAATTAAAAATGTCTCAAAAAATTGAAAAACGTTTGTTTGTAAATTGGAAAAAACGGCCAAAAATGCGTTAGAAATGCGCAGAAATTAAGTAAAAAATGCTCAAAAATGTTTAAAAAAATGTCTCAAAAAATTGACAAAAATTTGTTTGTAAATTGGAAAAAAATGACAAAAAATTCGTTAGAAATACGCAGAAATTATGTAAAAGATGCTGAAAAACTTAATCAAAAATTTGTTAAAAGGGCTAAAAAATTGAGAAAAAATGCCCAAAAATTTAGATAAAAAATGGCGTTAAAAATGGTGAAAAATTAGGTAAAAATTAAACAAAAAATTGAGTTTGTTAAAAAAAACAAAATTTACATTAAAATATGCTTATAAAAATAAATTAAAAATTGACAAAAATTGCTTGTAAACTGGAAAAAATGTATTAAAAACGTGAAAAAATTTGGCAAAAAATTGCATTAAAGATGCTGGAGCATTTTGAATCATTTTATAAATGTATTACTATCGTTTGAAACAGTTCAGAACTTTATTAAAACGTTTAGAACTATTCAAAATCAATTAGAATCATTTTAGAAATGACTGATACCATTTGAAACAGTTCAGAATCATCTTAGAACTATTTAGAACTGTTCAAAATCACTTTCAATTGTTCCGAATCATTTTGAACCATATTAGATAATACCATTTGAAATTGTTCAGAACTATCTACTCTACTCTACTCTACTCTACTCTACTCTACTCTACTCTACTCTACTCTACTCTACTCTACTCTACTCTACTCTACTCTACTCTACTCTACTCTACTCTACTCTACTCTACTCTACTCTACTCTACTCTACTCTACTCTACTCTACTCTACTCTACTCTACTCTACTCTACTCTACTCTACTCTACTCTACTCTACTCTACTCTACTCTACTCTACTCTACTCTACTCTACTCTACTCTACTCTACTCTACTCTACTCTACTCTACTCTACTCTACTCTACTCTACTCTACTTTACACTACACTCCACTCTTCTATGAATACGAAACAAGATTTAAACATGTAAACGTACAAAATAAAAAATAAACCACCCAACCTATTATAAAAAAGTTTCAAAATAAATTTATGATAAAAATTCTTCAATTAATCAAAAATTTATTATTATTTATTATTTATTATTATTTAATCAAAAATTTATTAATTGATTTACAGATAACAGAATTTTGCAAGGTGATGACGACATCGTCGCTCAATTGTTATGTCCCCAAGTTATTATCGAAGAAAGGAGCGGCAAAGTCGACGCCACTGGTGGTAAATTAAACGGTATATTTTCAATCTAATTACAGGGTGTCCCATAGAAAAATTGAATATTTTAATTTAATTAGTAATTACAGGGTGTCCCGATGAAAAGTTGCGCATTCAATCGGGTTATTATTTTTAAACACTTTTTTAAAAACCAAGTTTTTTTTATATAATCGAACGGTTTTGTAACCATCCGATTATATGTATATTTACGAATTGTAAACGTGGCAACGTTGCTTAGTAACTTTAAAATTATTAGGTTTATATAGTTTAGGGTATAGGAAAGTTGGTAAACATGAACTTCCCTTATTTTTTACTTCTGATTTCAAATAAAATAGAAAAAAAACGAGTGGTTCAATTTAGTAAAATGAAGAAATAATCAAAAACTGACCTCATTTAGAACTGTTCGGAATCATTTAGAACGCATCAGAATAATTCACAACGCTTCAGGACGATTTAAAACATTTCAGAACGATTTAGAATTGTCCAGGATCATTAGAACGGTTCATAACCAATTAGGACACTTCAGAAGAATTCAAAACAGTTCAGAACGATTTAGAATTGTCCAGATCATTTAGAATTGTTCGGAACCATTTACAATGCTTCAGAACAATTCACAACGCTTCAGGACGATTCAAAACAGTTCAGAACGATTTAGAAAAAAATTAAAAAATGCCAGTAACTAAGAAACTACTTGATATTGATATAAAGAACCCTATAAGCCGTTTGAAAGAGTACTCTTGGTACTTCATTTTAGAGCAATTAAAAATAGGGTGTCCCATTTAAAATAATTTAGTATGCAAAGAAAATATTTAACTCAACTTTCGCTGGAAATTATAAACACCATGTGAATTAATTTAATAATTAAAATAAGCTAAAATGTAGGTGAAAGTCTTTAGAAAGAAGAGACAAAAAGGCATTAATTTTAATTATACCAATAAGGTGTGATTAATGTTTTTCCAAAACCCTACATTTTCAGAAAGCGTGAAATAAATCAAAAACTATCAAGAATAGGTATAGGAAACTTTTAATAAACTGACATTAGTTTTTTAAGTAGATTTCAAAAATCCTATAAAATATAGGGTGTCCCATTTAAATTTTCATAACTTTACATTTTTTTTCTCAAAATTGGGACAACCTGTATATGCCTAATTAATTTTAAATTATAGCCACCATACATATACATATTTGACCCGAAGGAATTTTTAAAATCTCTTACCGTTTGCCTACAATACTCCGTCCCGTTGAGCGTGACTCACCCTGTATAATCGGTTGGTTACAAAACCGTTCGATTATAAAAAAACTTCTGAATACGGGCGTATTTGATTAAATGGGCTACTTTTCATTTGGAATTGGGACACCCTGTATTTATTAAACACGCCGAATGGACTATATTTTTTTTTGTTAATATTAATATTAATAAATGTATAAATTTTTAGCAGGTAACTCGGACGCCGGTAATTTATTAACCGATTATAATATTACGGGCATCAAAGGTAATATTCGGTAATTATTCGATGAAGTTTTGGTAATTTTGTTAAAATGTTTTCGCCCGTTTCAGCACGATTTTATTTGACTGACGAAGAGGAAAAATTGCGTGCTGAAATTTATACACCCGGTAAGTTTTTATTGTTTTTCTCCCTTTTGTATTTTTAATTACATTTTAATAGATGGGTTGGTTTAATTCTATACGAGTTGAACGAAGAGGGATTATTGAAACAATTGTGGGTTAAAGTGAAAAAGTTGCAATATTTCCAAACGATATTACTCGGTTTTTCTTCCTTTATACAAGACTAGTACAGTACCTATAGTATACAGGGTGTCCCACGACGAGTTAAAACTATTTGTATATTGGAAACTACTTATCCGATTTAAATAATATTTGGTATGTATATGTAAAAAAACAAATTATAAGGGTCTGCATCGGTCAAATTTAAAAAAAAAAAAAATTAATAACTCAAAAAATATGCAAATTATTCCTGTATATTCCGGAAGTTTCTCGGAAGTACAGGATGTTCCATTTAAAATAACAAAGTTGATTCCTACTTCCGGTACAACCGGAAGTGGTACGACTGTCAAAATATTTTTAAGAGGTTCATCTTATTGCTAAGGTTCGTCTTATACCAAAATATTATTTAAATCGAATCGAAGTAGTTTCTAATATACAGATAGTTTTAACTCGTCGTGGGACACCCTGTATAGAATAGAGTAGGAGGCTAGGGTAAAAATATCTAGGCCTGAACTGTTTAGAACCATTTAGAACGCTTCATATAGTCGTTTAGAACGCTTCAGAATCATTTTGAACTTAGTATATCTGGAAACATTTAGAACGATCCATCAGAACCATTTAGAACGATCCATCAGAACCATTTAGAACTGCTTAGAATTATTTAGAATGACCTAGAATCATTTGAACTCCAGCATTTTTCCAGCATGAACTCCAACTTTTTTTGCAAATTTTTTTTTTAATTTACAAACCAATTTTTCGCGTATTTTTTTGAAGATTTTTTGAATATTTTAACGCAAATTTTGGGTTTTTTTGGTCCACTTTTTTGCATATTTTTAAATTCGCGACATTTCCGACAATTTTTGAGCACTTTTATCTAATTTTTTTAGCATTTTTAACGCATTTTTTGTCCAATTTCAATATACATTTTGTTCATTTTTATCCAACTAACTTTTAAGCATTTTTGACCATTTTCCTCAAATTTTTGCTCATTTTTACCCAATTTTTCACCATTTTTAACGCCATTTTTTGCCACAATTTGCGTATTTTTCGCCCGGAATCATTTAGGACTACCTAGAACCATTTAGAACGTTCCAGAATTAATTAGAATTGTTTAGAACGCTCCAGACACATTTTGAACAACCAAAAAGGCCCAGAATAGATTTTTAACCACTATCTTTCACTATCTTTATAATGCCAAATTTCGCGGATTTTTTATCTAACTTTTTGATCATTTTTTGAACTATTTAGAACGCCTCAGAAGCATTTGAAACACTCCAGAAGCATTTAGAACTATCTAGAACTATTCAGAACAGTCTCGAACTAGAGATTTTTACCTAATAAGAAGAACTATGTAATTTTTCAATAGAATATCGCGGTCTTTCGTTGTCAGGCCGACAACTTTTCACCTTTTACCTAATCACAAACATTTTTTGCACTTTTTTTATTGAAAATATATGCATAAAATATATGTATAAAATATATGCAAATCAAAATTACGATAATTTCCAGATAATCCCGTACAATACACAAAAATACACTGTACTTCGTGTAAAGCGGGAAATCGACATTTAGGCAGCTCTCTCGATTCGATCGATAATATATTCGTTCACCCTGTATTAAACGTGCTCATTTGCAAAGATTGCTTTGATTATTACAACGATGGGGATTTCGAAAATGACAAGGACGGAACGGAGATGTACTGTAGGTGAGTGTACTAGTACTACGAGATAACTCGTAGTTATTGTGTAAATCGCAATTATCTCGAAAACTATTCAAGGAAGAAAAACGGAAGTTCTACCATTTTGTAGAGAAAAGTTTTTTCTACAATTTTTGTAATATGAATAATTTTGAAAAAATTCCAAATTTCCGAGATATTTTGATTTTTTGTCATAAAAGTACTAGATTTCTAGTAAAATTCTATAAGAAAATCAAATTATCTCGAAAACTATTCAAGGTAGAAAAAAGGAAATTTCACCATTTTGTAGAGAAAAGTTTTTCTACATTTTGGCAATTTGAATAATTTTGAAAAAACTTGAAATTTCCGAGATATTTTGACTTTTTTGTCATAAAAGTACTAGATTTCTAGTAAAATTCTATAAGAAAATCAAATTATCTCGAAAACTATTCAAGGTAGAAAAAAGGAAATTTCACCATTTTGTAGATAAATTTTTTTTCTACAATTTCTGCAACTTGAATAATTTCGAAAAAACTTGAAATTTCCGAGATATTTTGACTTTTTTGTAATAAAAGTACTAGATTTCTAGTAAAATTCTATAAGAAAATCAAATTATCTCGAAAACTATTCAAGGTAGAAAAAAGGAAATTTCACCATTTTGTAGATAATTTTTTTTCTACAATTTCTGCAACTTGAATAATTTCGAAAAAACTTGAAATTTCCGAGATATTTTGACTTTTTTGTAATAAAAGTACTAGATTTCTAGTAAAATTCTATAAGAAAATCAAATTATCTCGAAAACTATTCAAGGTAGAAAAAAGGAAATTTCACCATTTTGTAGATAAATTTTTTTTCTACAATTTCTGCAACTTGAATAATTTCGAAAAAACTTGAAATTTCCGAGATATTTTGACTTTTTTGTCATAAAAGTACTAGATTTCTAGTAAAATTCTATAAGAAAATCAAATTATCTCGAAAACTATTCAAGGTAGAAAAAAGGAAATTTCACCATTTTGTAGATAATTTTTTTTTCTACAATTTCTGCAACTTGAATAATTTCGAAAAAACTTGAAATTTCCGAGATATTTTGACTTTTTTGTCATAAAAGTACTAGATTTCTAGTAAAATTCTATAAGAAAATCAAATTATCTCGAAAACTATTCAAGGTAGAAAAAAAGAAATTTCACCATTTTGTAGAGAAAAGTTTTTTCTACATTTTTGCAATTTGAATAATTTCGAAAAACCTTGAAATTTCTAGATTTCCAACGAAATTGTATAAAAAAATCACAATTATTCTAAAAACTATTTAAAGTTTATTGTACGAGCGCGAGGCATTATTTTGTATACAGGATGTCCTAATGAAAAATAGCCCATTTAATTTTGTTACAGGTTAACACGGAAATTATTATATCACCACAGGATATACAGGATGTTTTATCAAAATCCCCCCTTTTCAAATCACATTAACCGCAACTTGTGAGTGGGCTACTTTTCATTGGGACACCCTGTATATTACTCGTTACATAATTAACCATTTTTTTGCAATAAAAAAATTACCATTTAAAGGAGAACGATTTGAATTGATTTTTTTTTCCAGATGGTGCGGTCAAGGAGGCCGAGTATTTTGCTGCAATACGTGCACTTTTGTTTTTTGTATAGTAAGTAGGACAAAGTTTGGACAATTTTATCATTGGACAATTTTTTTATTGGACCATTTTATCATTGGACAATTTTTATTGGACAATTTTATCATTGGACAATTTTTTATTGGACCATTTTATGATTGGACAATTTTTTATTGGACCATTTTATCATTGGACAATTTTTTATTGGACCATTTTATCATTGGACAATTTTTATTGGACAATTTTATCATTGGACAAATTGATGGTCTTTAGGCGATTTTGTCTGTTGTGAAAATTTGTCATTGGACAATTTTGTCTCTTGGGTTAAATTGTTATCATTTTTTATCATTGAACAGTTTTATCATTGGACCATTTTTACATTGGCCAATTTTGTCTTTTGGGCTAATCTGTCTGGACAATTTTATCATTGGTCAATTTTGTCTTTTGGGCTAATTTCTCACTGGACAATTTTATCATTGGACAATTTTGTCTTTTGAACTAATTTGTCACTGGACAATTTTGTCTTTTTGGCTAATTTGTCACTGGACAATTTTGCCATTAGGTGATTTTATCTAAGTGGGCTTTTCGTATTTTTGTTTTAAAATGTTTTTTTTTTGTTCAAGTATTGCGTAAGAGTAAATCTTTCTATGGATGAATATTGCGCAATTCGCGATTGCGACTTCTGGAAATGTTTCGTTTGCGATCCCAAGCAAATTGTAAAATTGAAAGTGCAATGTTACGAATTCGTCAGTTACGTTATCAAAGAGCTGGAGTAAGTGTCACTTTTTATCTGTAAATTTTATGGAAAATTCTGGAAATTATCTGGAAATTTCAGGAATTTTCTGTTTTTTGGAATTTTTTAAAATTTTCTGTTTTCTGGAATTTGATAAAATTTTCTTTTTTCTGGAATTTTATGATATTTTCTGGAAATATCTGGAAATTTCCGATAATACCTAAAATTTTCTGGAAATTACAGGAAATTTCTTTTTTTTTGGAACTTTATAAAATTTTCTCGAATTTTCTATTTTCCGAAATTTTCTGAAAATATCAGGAATTTTCTGGAAAGTAATTATTACTAATAATTACAGTCGAATTAAAAACATGCCCGATAGAGAACGCTTCCAGTCCATCGATCATTCGAAATGTTGCAAAATCGTTCCGCGCAGAAGACTCTCTGCGCGCATCCAGGAGGAAGAGAAATCGAAAATTAACGATCCAGATTTCTCTCCAGATACGCCAGATCGCAACAGACAATCGAAAATCCGGAAAAAAATTACCAGAGATCATCACAAGGAATTCGCCAAAATGGCGACGAATTATCCAGACGTCACTTTAACCCCTTTATCCAGAACAACTTCAAGTATGTTAACGACAATATGTGGTAACGTATCCACATTTTCCCTTCGTTTTTCCAGGTATTTCTCAACTACCACAACAACCCTTGCAAGTCCAAATTTATCCAGAAACATCCCAATCATCCATCCAGCCTGCACACAAACCACCATTGCAGCTACTACAAGTCCAAAACTCCTTATCCAGACAATCTCTTCAACCAGAACTCATTCAAACGCAGCCGTTACAAGTCCGAATTAACCCAACTTCACTAATTCCCAGTTATCCAGAAACATCCCAATCGTTGCAGCTACTTTCAGTCGAAACCTCGATATCCAGACCTTCCTCTCATCCAGAACTCCGATCTAATACAGCTCCCCGAACATCCCCCGAACCAATGCGGGGAAATCGATACAAATCTCCCTCTCCAGAGGCCCCCAAAGACCATTTCCAGACCCAGATCCAAAGGAATAGAGCCTGGAAAATGTCCAAACAATTGACAGATTGCATGATGACGACCGCCTTGGCGAATTCCTCGTTCGCTTCGACGTTGCTGAGCGTCAGCAAATTGCAGGGTTTTTCCGGTTTCTCGTCGATTGATCCAGAAGGCGACGAGAGAGAGGGGAGTTCTATGTACGGATCGTTGGACAAAAGTCTGGAATTGATGGTACAATCGTTGGTCGATGTTAAAACGCGATTGGGTTCGAGCAATTGAAGATTCTCAGAAATCATCGAAGACAACTACCATTTTCTAGCCTCGTCTACTCCTTACCTACCCTTCTCTACTCCTTACCTACCCTCCTATACTCCTTACATACCCTCCTCTACTCCTTACCTACCCTCCTCTACTCCTTACCTACCCTCCTCTACTCCTTACCTACCCTCCTCTACTCTTAACCTACCCTCTTAAACTCCTTAGCTACCCTCCAATACTCCTGACCTACCCTCCTCTACTCTTTACCTACCCTCTTAAACTTCTTACCTACCCTCCTATCCAATTAGTTTCTTGTTAATGTGTGTTTTTTATTTATTGCGTTTACTTATTGAATTTTTTTATGTTATGAGTTTGTTTGTTTATTTGGGTAAGTTCTTGTAAAATTTCCTATTTATACTTTTCACAAAGGTCATGTATGTATTGACTATTGGTAAGGTCATGTTTTATACATAGGTTAATGCATTGGCAATTGCTAAATGTCATGTATACATTATTTAGAATACATTTGGATACTTGGATACATTATTTTCTTGTTAAGGTCATGTATTAGTGATAATTAAAGATCATGTTTGATACATATATGAATTAGTCATAAATAAAGATCATATTTAGTAAATACATTATTTCCTTGTTAAAGATCATGTATTGGCGATTTCTAAAAGTCTTGCATGATCCATGAATACATTGTTTATTTGTTAAAAATCATGTATTAATCATAAATAAAGATCATGTTTGGTAATATACTTTATTTCCTTGTTTAAGATCATGTATTGGCGATTCCTTAAGATCTTGCATGGTACATGAATACATTATTTATTTGTTTTGTTAAAGGTCATGAATTAGTCATTAATAAAGATCATGTTTAGTACATACATTGTTTCCTTTTTAAAGACCATGTATTGGCGATTTCTAAAAGTCTTGCATGATCCATCAAAACATTATTTATTTGTTAAAAATCATGTATTAATCATAAATAAAGATCATGTTTGGTTTTAAACATTATTTCCTTGTTAAAGATCATGTATTGGGGATTCCTTAAGATCTTGCATGGTACATGAATACATTATTTATTTGTTTTGTTAAAGGTCATAAATTAGTCATAAATAAAGATCATGTTTAGTACATACATTGTTTCCTTTTTAAAGATCATGTATTGGCGATTTCTAAAAGTCTTGCATGGTCCATCAATACATTATTTATTTGTTAAAAATCATGTATTAATCATAAATAAAGATCATGTTTGGTTTTAAACATTATTACCTTATTAAAGATCATGTATTAGGGGATTTCTAAAATTCTTGCATGATCCATGAATACATTATTTATTTGTTAAAATTCATGTATTAGTCATAAATAAAGATCATGTATGTTCCTGGGTTACATTATTTATTAATTTATTTATTTAAGATCATGTAAAAGACCTTTTTTATTCAACTTTTTTTGCCTTGTGTTATACAAAACTAACCACCAGATGTTCGGTTTTTTATACAGTATATTATTCGCATTAATTCGATTTAAATATAAAGTTATTTGACTCGTGGAAATTAATAAGGTCAATTGGTTGATTCAATTAGGTCAATTACGGTTAGAACAAACGATGGGAACGTTTAGAAAACGTTTAGAACGGTTCTAGATTGTTCTAAACAGTTCTAATTGCTCGAAAATTTTTTTGCTCGAAGTAATATTTGAGAATTCGAAAAAACTATTACTTTTTAACAAAGCAAAATACCATCCAGAACTCCAACCAGAACCACTGAGAACTTATAAAAGTTGCACTACCAACTTCACACATCTTTTAAAATGCATTTTAAAAATGCAAGATCGTTTACTCGCCACAAAAGCGAAGGTTGATGGATTTCTAAATTATTCCGCAGAAAGAGAATAAAAAAATTTTTGTTCTACAGATTGGGTATGAAAAAAAAACCAGTGCGGAGTAAGAGCGTTTTCATTAGGTGCAATAAATATTGCATTGCAATTAAAATACAATGTAATATACAGTGTGTTCACGGATGGGGTTGCCTATAGGAGAAAAATTTTTATTATTCATTTTACGACAAAAAGTCATTCTTTATAAAAATTTTTGCTTTTTTTAAAAATGAGAATACCACTGAAAAATCTTAGATTGGATCTACAGGGTGTTGTCAAATTAAGAAAACATGAAAATACCTCAAGAGAGAAGTACCATTATTTTTTATTTTACACAAAAATTTTATAAAAGAAAGTTGTTTATAATCTAAAATAAAGCCTGAATTCAAATTTTTAAATTAAAATTCCAATTTTACGACCAAAAGTAATTTTTTATAAAAAAATATTCTTGTGAAAATGAGATTCACATACCAAACATTAGATAAGATGTATAGGGCGTTAGTAAATTAAGAAAACACGAAAAAATATCAAGACCATTTATTTATTATCTTGCACTATTATTTAAAAAAATTGCTTTTAATTCAAAGTAAAGCCTGAACACAAATTTATAAATTTAATTTGTAAATTTATTTATCTTTCGTTCTTTCTTGAAATTTTTTCCTGCTTCTTAATTTACTAACACCCTATACATCTTATCTAATGTTTTGATATGTGAATCTCATTTTCTCGACTAGTTAATTTTTTTATAAAGAATGGCTTTTCGTCGTAAAATTAATAATTTTTCTTACCTGGTCAACTTTATCTGTGAACACAAAAAATTTGAATTTAAGTTTACAAATTTGTATTCAGGCTCTATTTTAGATTATAAACAACTTTCTTTTATAAAAAATTTGTGTAAAATAAAAAATAGTGGTACTTCTCTCTTGAGGTATTTTCATGTTTTTTTTAATTTGGCAACACCCTGTAGATCCAATCTAAGATTTTTCAGTATTATTCTTATTTTTAAAAGAAGCAAAAATTTTTATAAAGAATGACTTTTTGTCGTAAAATGAATAATAAAAATTTTTCTCCTATAGGCAACCCCATCCGTGGACACACTGTATAACATGGGTGCAATAATTTTTATTGCAAAACGATATTTAAGATCCCGTTTCGTACTCATTTTGCATTATTCGCTCGTATAAATTATAAAAAATGAAAAATATCGCAGACCTTGTAATGTAATAATGTGTTCCCCCCCCCCGATTGTTACGCCCCTGGTGTACACTAACATACACTACACACGTTTATTAGCCATGCAATTACGTAGAGACGAATGAAAATTCTCGTTTCGACGAGTAATTTCGGTTTTATGAGGTCATTTTACCGGAATATAAAGCGGTCATCGCTGTGCAATGTATACAGTGTGTTATTTATAAAATGGGACATAGGGATTCTTGGTACAAAAGTGTCAAAAGTGTCATAAATGTGTCATTTTTATGTCACTATATAATTGTAAAAGGGGCGGAATTAACAGGGTTGGTTTACGTTCTGAAATTTGAAAATTTCGACGCGAAGGAATGAGGTTCAATCCCCGCGCAGTGCAGGAATATTTTTCTTTTTTTTTTCTATTATTTTTGTCTAAATAAATGTTAAATAGAAATATAAGACGAGTTTATTTGAGATGTAAATTAATTTTTACTTAAATAAAAGCTCCGACAATTAAGTGTCAATTTTATATCACTTTCTAATAATTTTTAAATGGGCGGAATTAACAGGGTTGGTTTACGCTCTGAAGTTTGTAAATTTCAACGGGAATTAATGTAGGTTCAATCCCCGCGTAGTACAGGAATTTTTTTCTTTTTTTTTTCGGTTTTTTTTTTTTAATATTTTTGTCTAAAAAGTGTTAAAGAGAAATATTTAAAATAAGACGAGCTTATTTGAGATATAAATTTATTTTTATTTAAATAAAAGCTCCGACAATTAAGTGTCAATTTTAATACGAAAAATCTCGTTTGTCGATAAAGCCTTTAAATTAATGTCATATTTTTATTCTTGACAAAAAAACATTAAAAACACCAAAAAACACAAAATTTGCGTTAAAAAATTTAAAAAATGCCCAAAAAAATTGCAAAAAAAATTGCTTATAAATTGGAGAAAAAAACGGTCAAAAAATGCGTAGAAATTAAGTAAAAAATGCTCAAAAATTTAGAAAAAAATGCGCAAAATTTGGCAAAAAAAGGCGTTAAAAATGGTGAAACGTGGTTCAATCCCCACGCAGTGCAGGAATATTTTTCTTTTTTTTTCGGTTTTTTTTCTAATATTTTTGTCTAAAAAATGTTAAATAGAAATATTTAAAATAAGACGAGCTTATTTGAGATATAAATTTATTTTTGTTTAAATAAAAGCTCCGACAATTAAGTGTCAATTTTAATCACGCAAATTCTCGTTAGTTGGTAGAGTCTTTAAATTAATGTCATATTTTAAATTTTTGACAAAAAAAAACATTGAAAAACATCCAAAAAAAAAAAGAAAAAAATTTCCGTACTCGCGGATTGAACCACATTCCTCCGCGTCAAAAATTTTAAAACCCAGAGCGTAAACCAACCCTGTTAATTCCGCCACTAATTACAGTTATTAGATAGTCATATAAAAATTACTTATGATGTTTGACTTTTTTCAACTTAATTATACATTTTTTAATTAAACCAAAACGAATTTCTTTTATTCGGAATTCGGAAAAATAGTTTGCTCGCTTTTTGAAAGGTTTACAAGACGATACGAAAAGAAGAAGAAATTATTCCCGTCGCAAAATGGAGAGAGGAATATGATGTGAGATATTTTAGCCAAATATATGAAAATATATAAGTCATTAGAACCAAAATCAGATTTCAGTTGCTGAAAATATTCAATATTTTAGGAAATACGGCCCTTTTAAATATGAAATTTTGACAGGTGACGTGTAAAGTCACTAACCAATCACAAGAGAGATAACATCAAATGATAGAGATTAGGTTATTATAATTTTTTTTTGATATTTTTGTAATTTTCTACTTAAAAAAAAGGTGTACTTGTTGAATTTATCGTAAAGTGAGCATCAGTTTTAACAAAAAATTACTTTTAAAATTCTGATACACAAAATTATTAAACTATCTGTCATCCTTAAAAAAAATAGTAGTAAGTCATTCTGTCAAAAATTTGACAGTTCGATAAAATGACATTTAAGTTTTTGTCGTATATTTTGAAGTTCTCTACTTATTCCTAAAGTTTTGACCACTTTATTTCAGATACACCCGGTATAATAGAATAAAAAAAAACGTATAAAAAGTTACCTTTCAGTTCTGTTGTAGACCACGTGGTTGGTTTCGTTAATCGTTACAGGAGACGCCATCATCAGGAAATTCGTTTCGGGAAAGATCGTCTCATTCGGCAGGTCGACTTCCAGTGGTTTGGATTGCTGGAAGAATTTCACTTTCACTTTCTCGCGTTCGGCCCTGCAACGATAACAACAACGAAAAAATATAAATCGGATTTATTGATAATCGGAATATCGAAATAAGAGGTATGATCTTTTTTCCATCTCCGTTTCACCTATGATTAATGTCAAATGACGTCATGATTGATTCCTGATGGAATTGATTTATGTGAATATAGGAACAAATTGCTGGATGGTTGGACATTTTGACGTTGACGTTGACATTGACAATTTAAATTTGAATTTTTAAATGTGAGGGAAATTATAAAAAATGGAGTTTTATTTGATTGCAAAAAATATGTTCATCCGATTCATCATCAGAACCTAAAAGTGAAGAGTCCTCAAATAACAGTGGCAGTGATGAGTTATTGGAACTATTTTTAATAAACAAAGAAATCAATAAAACTCATGCAATAGCAGATTTCGGAATCCATTGCAAATTGCAAAACCAGCAAAACAAATTCAAAAATTGAATGCACGTTGAATGCACAACTTCAACATGGAACATCAGATCATAACCGAAACCGATCATGGAATGAAAAATATGGGTTATAATTCATCTGTCAACCAGATCAATCCTCTTCAAAATCCGATTAATCAGATGACTAATCGCTGTTTCATCGATGAGAAAAAGATCGTTGACAGATGACAAACGTTTAAAAATCGCTGAATAAATGAACACTTTGATGACATCGGTTGTTCAACCGCTGAATAAAAGACCTATAGTGGGTTGTTTATGAAATATATCAAATGTGTCAAGTGTCAAAAGTGTCAAAAGTGTCAAAAGTGTCAAAAGTGTCAAAAGTGTCAAAAGTGTCAAAAGTGTCAAAAGTAAGCTAAATTTTTTATCAAATAACGTTCGTAAAAAATAATGACAGATTTGTAAAGATATAAGTCGAAATGGATATGAAATTTTCTTAAATTCGTTCTGGTTTAATTAAAAAGTGTATAATTAAGTTGAAAAAAGTCATACGTCATAAATAAGTACTTTTTATAAAACTATCTAATAATTGTAAAAATGGGCGGAGTTAACAGGGTTGGTTTACGCTCTGGATTTTAAAAATTTTGACGCGGAGGATTGTGGTTCAATCCGCGAGGGCGGTGTTTTTTTTTTTCTTTTTTTTTTTTGGGTGTTTTTAATGTTTTTTTCTGTCAAGAATTTGAAATATGGCGTTAATTTAAAGGCTCTACCTACTAAAAAGATGTTGCGTTAATAAAATTGACATTTAAATATCCTTTATTTAAATAAATAATAATTTAAAATAATTTAAAATAATAAAATAATTTAAATAAATAATTTATTTAAATAAAAATAAATTTATATCTCAAATAAGCTCGTCTTATTTTAAATATTTCTATTTAATATTTTTTAGACGAAAACATTATTAAAAAAACCGAAAAAAAAAGGAAAAAAATTCCTGCACTGCGCGGGGATTGAACCACATTTCACCACTTTTTAATGCAATTTTTTGGGCATTTTTTACTTAATTTCGATGCATTTTTTCTCTAATTTATAAGCAAATTTTTTTGCAACTTTTTTTGGGCATTTTTTTTTAATTTTTTGCCGCAAATTTTGGATTTTTTTTTTGGTCTTTGTAATGTTTTTTTTTGTCAAGAAAAAAATATGACATTAATTAAAAGGCTCTACCAACTAACGAGATTTTGCGTTATTTAAATTGACACTTAATTGTCAGAGCTTTTATTTTAATCAAAATAGATGTATTTCCCAAATAAGCTTGACTTATTTTAAATATTTCTATTTAACATTTTTTAGATAAAAACATTAGAAAAAAACCGAAAAAAAAGAAAAAAAAATACCTGCACTGCGCGGGGATTGAACCACATTTCACCATTTTTAACGCCATTTTTTTGCCAAATTTTGCGCATTTTTTTCTAAATTTCTGAGCATTTTTTACTTCATTTCTACGCATTTTTTGTCCGTTTTTTCTCCAATTTATAAGCAAATTTTTTTGCATTTTTTTGTGACATTTTTTTGAATTTTTTAACGCAAATTTTGGGTGTTTTTTGGTGTTTTTAATGTTTTTTGTCAAGAATGAAAATATGACATTAATTTAAAGGCTCTACCGACTAACGAGATTTTGCGTTATTAAAATTGACAATTAATTGTTTGAGCTTTTATTTAAATAAAAATTAATTTATATCTCAAATAAGCCCGTCTTATTTTAAATATTTTTATCTAACATTATTTTAGACAAAAACATTAGAAAAAAAAAACCGAAAAAAAAAGATAAAAATTCCTGCACTGGGATTGAACCACATTTCACCACTTTTTAATGCAATTTTTTGTGGATTTTTTACTTAATTTCGACGCATCTTTTGTCAGTTTTTTCTCCAATTTATAAGCAAATTTTTTTGCAATTTTTTAACGCAAATTTTTGGTTTTTTTAATGTATTTTGTCAAGAATAAAAATATGACATTAATTTAAAGACTTTTACGAGATTTTTCGTTATTAAAATTGACATTATCTGAGCTTTTATTTAAATAAAAATAAATTTATAAATCAAATAAGCTCGTCTTATTTTAAATATTTCTATACATATAATATTTTTTAGACGAAAACATTAGTAAAAAAACCGAAAAAAAAGGAAAAAAATTCCTGCACTGCGCGGGGATTGAACCACATTTCACCACTTTTTAATGCAATTTTTTGGGCATTTTTTACTTAATTTCGATGCATTCTTTCTCTAATTTATAAGCAAATTTTTTTTGGGCATTTTTTTTTAATTTTTTGCCGCAAATTTTGGATGTTTTTTTTGGTGTTTGTAATGTTTTTTGACATATGACATTAATTAAAAGGCTCTACCAACTAACGAGATTTTGCGTTATTAAAATTGACACTTAATTGTCGGAGCTTTTATTTTAATCAAAATAGATGTATTTCCCAAATAAGCTTGTCTTATTTTAAATATTTCTATTTAACATTTTTTAGATAAAAACATTAGAAAAAATTTTTTTTGCCAAATTTTGCGCATTTTTTATCTAAATTTCTGAGCATTTTTTACTTCATTTCTACGCATTTTTTGTCCGTTTTTTTCTCCAATTTATAAGCAAATTTTTTTTGCATTTTTTTGACATTTTTTTGAATTTTTTAACTCAAATTTTTGGTTTTTTTTAGTGTTTTTAATGTTTTTTGTCAAGAATAAAAATATGACATTAATTTAAAGACTTTTACGAGATTTTTCGTTATTAAAATTGACATTTAATTGTCTGAGCTTTTATTTAAATAAAAATAAATTTATAACTCAAATAAGCTTGTCTTATTTTAAATATTTTTACGTAAAATTTTTTTAGACAAAAACAGAAAAAAAATTCCTTTGAAATTATCCCCATTCTACAATTCCATCCATTTTACAATTATCAGACAGTGATATAAAAATGACACATTTATGACGTATGACTTTTTCTCAACCTAATTACATATTTTTTAATTAAACCAGAACGAATTTAAGAAAATGTAACGTCCATTTCGACTTATTTTTCGACGATCTTTTCAAATCTGTCATTTTTTACGAACGTTATTTGGTAAAAAAGTTAGCTTACTTTTGACACTTTTGACACTTTTGACACTTTTGACACTTTTGACACTTTTGACACTTTTGACACTTCTGACACTTTTGACAGTTTTGACACTTTTAACACATTTTATAATTAACACAATGTATTAATTTATTTTTCCCTCATCGAAACTCACATAATATTAATTTCTATATCACGCGAATTATATTAACCACTTCACCATTAGTATATCAGATTTTACTTCACTAAATTCACTAATTTCAAATATTATTTGTTAATAAACTTAAGTAACGTTTGTAATTAGAATTATAAATAACTTTTATTAGAAATGTTCACTTCTAGTTTGTATTTTTAATCGATTTATATCGAGATATAATTGTGTATAATAACCATTTAATTACTTGTAAGTTTTTCACGAATAAATATTTTTTTAAATTCGAGCCTTTGAAAATTCGAAACTCGCTGAAATTTATAAACTGTAAACTCGTCAGCACCGCTTCTGAGCTAATACTGAATAAATAAAACAGAAAGTATTTCAAGTATTACACAATGATGGAGTTTTTTTTTTTAATTGAATTGAATTGAAACGGCGTTACGTAAAAGTTTAGCGAGTTCGCGTTTAATTTCTGTAGGGTAGACTGGGGCAAATGTATAAAAATGGGATAAATGTAATAATGGGGAAAATGTAAAAATGGGGTAAATGTAATATTTTTACCTATTATGTTAATGTTTATATTATTTTTATAGTTCTTTTGTGCATTAGACAGAGTTTGTTTCTTATTTTTTCTTTATTATTTTGTAGCTCTGTTATTTTTTGAAATAAATAAATAAACAGCATATCAAATTTTAGAAGAACCAAATATTTTTTTACAAATGCCCCATATGTTTTTCTATATAATTGTATTGTCTCTTTAGAACCGTTTTTTACATTTACCCCATACCATGGGGTAAATGTAACATATTGTCAACATTTTAAAAAATGTGTAAAATCGTTTTCTTCCTTTTTCAAAAAAACTTTTTAATACCTCGATTCTTTAGTTTAAGAAGTTGTGAATTTAATGTGGTATCAGCATTTCTAATAAGAAAAAAAAATAAAGCCACATTTTAGGATTTAATTTGAACTATACAAATTTTACAACCGATTTGCCCCACTCTACCTTACGGCAATTTTTATATTAGATTTTTTTTAACTGTATAATACCGGTCGCATTGGAGACGAATAAAACTTATTGAAAATATACAGGGTGTCCTAAATAATTCTGAAGCGAAACAAATGGTTCTAATTAATTCTATAGCGTTCTAAATGGTTCTATGATAGTTCAAAATGATTCTGGAGCGTTCTAAATTGTTTCAGACAGTTTTTTAATACTTCTGAAGCGATTTAAATGATTTTAGAGCGTTAAAAATGGTTCTAGATTGTTCAAAATGATTCTAGAGCGTTCTAAATAGTTCTAGATAGTTCAAGATTCTGGTGCGATTCTGGGTCGATTCTGAAACGTCCTAAATGGTTCAAGTTAGTTCGAAATGATTCTGGAGAGGGTCTAAATGGTTATAGACAATTCTAATTGATTTTGGAGCGTTCTAGACAGTTCTAATTGGTTCTAAATGGTTATAGATAGTTCAAAATGACTCTGGGGCGTTCTAAATTGCTTTAGACAGTTTTTTAA